GTTTCCTAGCGTTTTGTTCGACTACATGTTACATGTCATGTCCACTTGCGATGTGTATAAATCGCGCATTCTGCATGGGTGGCCGTGGCTTCTTGGAAGCTTTGATCCTATTACTCCTAAGAATCGACATGCGGTGCAAACCTGAATTCTATTCGCGTGTGGAGCGTTTTGCAGGTGGGCTCTATTTTGTGATTTCTATCGATTCTCTGCTGCGCATCTTCTTTTGTCAAGGTCGAGGAGGTCTTGCAGTGGTCACTGACTCAGTGTTTGCTTCTGTGCCTCGTGGTCCACAGGTCTGTCGTTGTCGGCCCCCGACACCGAAAAAAATCCAGGGAGCAGGTGTTTCACGCCAAACCGAGACGATCCATTTATTGACGAGGCTGACCTTTTAGGTTCTTACATTGGTGGGCTGCTGCAGGTGCATGGCGGATTTGTTTGGCGGATGCGGCGGCTTCTTCTTTTCAGGTGCGGTATCTTACGGTTGCATGGGACGCAGGGTGTTGATTTTCATGGCGCTTTGGCATTTTTTGAACACTCATGCAACCTCAGAGATGGTTTTCTGCAACTCACATTTGTGCTGGCGTGGTGTGTATGCTACTTAATTCGTGCACTCTTTTCATTTCCTTTTGCGCGCAACGCTTAAGTGCTTCTGCAATCCGTTTCACGTTGTGTATCACAGTGTTTGGGCAACTTTCGCCAATCGAGACACCTGTTTCCTGCGATGTGAAAGTTGTCCTTCCTTCGTATGTTGCCTCAGGCAATTTGTTTTTGTGACGTGGTTCACGGTCAAGATTTCGGTTTCCCAGGTGACCTTGGCTCGGATTTTTATCAGGATGCTTTCGCTGTAGGATGGCTTGTGTGTTCTGTTTGGCGGTTTGTGCTTGTTGTTTGTTCTTCGCTGATCCTTTGTTATTCCTTGGCTGGTTTTGTACAAGATGTCTGGAGCGAAGGAAAGCCTCCGGAAAGTCGAGCTGGGATTGCCCTGGAGCGCTCAGCGGTGACCCAGGGAGGATGGCTCTTGGATTTCGTGGGCGCTCTGGCCTTTTTCTGGACACCCAGGAAACCTGAGTGATGAGTTTCTGCATATTCTTTTTGGGCTGGCAAGGTCCTCGCTTCTTAATTCGGGTTCTCTTTTCGCTTCCCTATCTCGCACAACGCGAGATTGCTTCTGCAATCTGTTTCACAATTTGTCTCACAGTGTTTGGGGTGATCGCTGGTATCGCTGGTTGAGACACCAGTCTCCTAGCTGGTTGCCTGCGAGTTGGGGAGTTGACTTTTGTCCTTCTCTCGTAAGCGTTGCTTTTGCTTCAGTGGTTCACTGGTCGAGACTTCGGTTTCCCGGAACTCTTTAGTTTGCTTGCGATGTGCTGAGGATGATTTGTGTTGTGTGTTCGGTTTTGCTGGTTGTGTTTTGTTGCTTGTTGTTTGCTGTTTCTTTTTGGTATCCTTGGCATGTTTTGTACGTGATCTTGCGCTTGAGGGGACACACCAGAAACATTACATTGATGTGAAAACGGGCACCGCAAACTCTGCCAGGTCCAAGCGGTCACCTTGGCCCTAACCGGCACCCCTGGCCCTGGTAGACCGCTGGGAAAGCCCACGCCACCGGGAGAAAAAGGCCAAACAAATTGACGACAGCTTGAGCCGGGAAGCTGGGAAGCTGGTGCAAGGCTGGAAGCTGAGAGGCTGGGGCCCGGACAGCTGGGAAGGTAACAGGCTTGCTGGTCAGCTATGAAGTGTTGGAGGGTCAGCAACTGTCTTGCAACTGCGATGTCATCCCCCCCTCCCTCAGGTCTGGGCGCTGTTCGATGATGCAGTCTGAGCCCGGACAACCCGTTGGTTTCTGTTGTGTGTTCGGTTTTGCTGGTTGTTTTCTGTTGCTTGTTGTTTGTTGTTTTTTTCTTGGTATCCTTGGCATGTTTTGTACAAGAAGTTTCTGCGCTGTAACAGCGGACCCGCGTGATCGCATCGGCCGGATGGAGCAAAAAAGACGAAAAAAACACCGGACAACCTGTTAGCTCGCAAGTTGCGAAGATAAGTCTCCTGCGCGCGACATGGGCGTGACGGACAGACTTCAAATGTTTGAATCCTGAAAGCAAGGCGTTCCAAAGTTCTTCAGAGACGTCGGTGTCCAGCATGTCAGTGGATATGCGCTGCGCGCCACACCTCCCCTGGCAAACAGCTCTGTGGAAGCGCTTTGCCGTAGGAATTGGGCAATGACCTTCGCTCTATAGATCGTGGGGCTTGGATCTTTGTTTTTTGGGGCTTGCGCCTGCGTGGGAATCGCAACATAGCTATATGCGCATGGTCCACAAACTCATCAGTGGATCGAAGAAAGACGGATGATGCCTCGATTCCGTTTCTCATGCGGAACCAGGAGTACTTCGGCTGGAAATGGGCGCGATGGACGGAGATCGGGCGCGCGGTTCTGCAAGACATACCACGGCTTCAACAAGTGGTGGGTGTAACCGGATCTTGCCCGCGGAAACTTGTGAGAAAAGACATGGCTGGGAGTTCTCAGTGGAACAGAAGGATTCTGGGGACGGCTTTCCCAAGCCGGGTTTCGGTGGTCTTCCGCCTGCACGCCTGGCGCACCCCAAGAGGGTGGTTTCGGATGAGGAGCGCCAGTTTGCTCCACACCTCGATCCTATGGAACTGGAAACCTGCAGAGGCCCAGTGCCATGGTGGTTTTTGTGCATAGTTGACTCAGGTGTGGACTGTCAGGCGCAGCCGAAAAGGCGCTTGGCTGGGGGTCTGCCAGATCTCAAGCGACTGAACACTGTGGACAACGCCTGCTCCTGCGCATGCTCCTCCTTTTCCACATTGTGGTCATGGCGGGACACCCGCCTCCCAGACAGAAACTCCACCAGGCGACATCACAGTGGATCCTGGGCCATCCCTCCAACAAACCGACGGCGGTCATGACCAACTTGCTGACTGGAATGGACTTCGGTGTGCTCACCAAAAACACCCTCAAGGGTTCTCGAGGAAGGCCCTTGCCTGCTGGGGCAACGTTGAGATTGCGCAGGCCCTCACGAAGACTTCCAGGTGGCATCATCCCTGGCCCCAGTTTCACTTTGCCACCGGTCCATGGCATGGCTGGGCACTATGTCCTTGACCCCAACGCACAGCAAAACTCTTTGAGTGCAGCTCTCTGTGAGGAAATCGAAGGCACCTTTTTGATGAGCATGGTGCTGGGACCTTCTCCTGGCTAGACCGTCTGCCTTGGTCGACCTCGCCTTTTTTTGTGCAAGCTCGTCTTGGATCATTTTCGTTGGGCTCACAGGCCGAGTGCGCTTGGCAGTTAGCGAACTGGACCACTGTGGCCACGGCTGGGTCGGAGCGTCCTTTCGGCTGCCTCTCTAGTGCACTTGGCCTCGCTCTGTTTAATTTCCACTCACTCCTTGGCTTGTTGCGGTTGCTTGTGTTGACGTTGTTCGCCAAAACGGTGAAAGCATTGGTTCGCGCCATCAAGGGTGCGGGTGCTTAGACTTCACCGTCGGATCAGGTTGGTGTCGATTGGAACCCTAAACGTCGCTTGTTTCCAGTTGGTCTCTTCCGAAACCACCTCGCGGAAGAAAGGAACAGACGATTGACTCGCATGGGATGGACATTATGCAGTTGCCTGCGCAGCGGCGCAATGACCACATTTTGGGGCACGGCCAAGAAGCAGAGCTCGGATCCCTTCGCAAGCTTGCTCAAAGTAGTGAGGCAGAAAACAACATACGCCGCTTCAGTCTAGCGCGAAGAGCTGCATGCTGGACACGGCGACTCAATGCCCAGCTTTTAGTTTGTTGCCCAAGTTCCAGCAATGTGAAGACGTTGGTAAACCTTGGTCATCCAGCCTTGACTTGAGCAAATTGCGACAATGGCAAGCTTTTTGGTTCCCGACCCCAACAAAGCATTGGGACCCGGCCCTTTTTTTGAACTTAAAGCAACACCATTCCCACGCAAGGAAGGAGTTGAGGGAAGGGCGTGCCCTTTCTCTGAAAATTTCATGACTCTTCTCAATGTAGAACTTTCGAAAAGTAAGTTGTGGGGCCCCCCCGCACCTCGTTTCCCCTTGGGGCCTCCCACCTCCCCACTTCCCTTCCCCTTGGAAACGGGTCGAGCGCCGCGCGCCAACGGCGCGCGCCAACGGCGCGCGCCAACGGGCGCCAACGGCGCTGGCCATGCGCGTCCTTCGCCTGTGGCCGGAGGGCACCCAAGAGGCCGCGCCGGCCTGCGCGGTGGGCATCGCCTGGGGCCACAGGGGTTTCGCGGGGGGGGATGGGGCGGGGGATGGGGGGCGGGGGGGCTTTGGCTTGGGGAGGGGAGGGGAGGGAGGGAGCTCAAGGCTTGCTTCTTTCAGACGCACAAAATTCATGAAATTTATGAAGCAAAGACTAAAAGAACCTAGGGCTCCATTGACATCTCGTTTGGCGCTGAAACCTTGGGATGTCCTTAGGGGTTCATTTCGTGTTGCTCTCACGTGAACAGTAGCACTCCTCGTAGTCATGGAAGGATTCGGGTCAGTGGGTCTCAGTGCTTGCTTTTGATAAGCACTATGGAACCCAGAGCCAAGAATATGACTGATAGCTCCCATTGCCGTTTGCAGACTTTGGAATCATCTTGCTTTCTTTGGACGCACCCTTCTAGCGCAGAGGCTTTCTCCCCAAAGAAATTGCATGAATAGAAGCTCGTTGACAGAAAGTGGCCAGCTCAATGTGTTTTGGTTGCTTGAAATGGTCGGCCACGGTAGTTTGGTTGTGCCTATGGGCGCGCCGGTTTTGGTTTGGGTCCCTCCCTGGTCCTTCGGACCGAAGGGGTCAAAGGAGCGGTTCTGTTTGGGTGGGAAAATGGGTGGGTGGGTGGGGGGTAGGGCAAGGGTGGGGTGTGGGGGTAAGGTGATTTTGCGGGTGGTGGTGTGATTTCTTTGGAGCCCCCTCACGTTCTCGAAGAGGAGCTCTGCTTGTCAGCCTTTCAGGTGCAATGGCTTGTTTAGCCATGGGAGAAACCAACTCATACATTCACAGCGCTTCTGAACATTCAAATCCTGTCCCGAACTTCTCCGAGGGTATCTGTTTTCAGGTTGCTTGAGCGAACTCAGCAAGAACAACATCCCTTTTTCGATATGGGTGTGGCTCAAAATGTAAGAGCCAGGCTTACGCTGGTTTGAGTCTTTGGTTGCATTTACCAAGGTGCCACTTTAGTACATGTTCTTGAGCCACAGCCATAAAAGCTCATGCGGGCCACTAAGCCTTCCTCTCAAGCTAAACAGTAGGCCTTGATCCATAAGGCTGTGGGTCAAAACCAATGGATCCCATTTTGGGGTAGGTGCACCACTCATTTTAGAACCTATTTTAGTGGGGATTGGGATGTTCACTGGGGGTGTGAAGTGCCATCGCCACTGGAGGTCTGAGTTGCCGGGGGATGACACCGTCCGTTTGAGGGGTTCATGTTTCAGGCCAAGATCATGCAGCAATATAGCAGGGCTCCTTAAAGATACATTTTGCCCATTTGAAACATGGCTTTTTCCACCAACATAAAGGGAAACCACCATTTATAAGGCAATGTTCAGGTGTATAATGTAAGGATCCCTGTATAGAGAAAAACACAGAATAGTTTGATGTAAGTTCTGGTGGCAATGTGCATACACTACGGAAAACAACTGTGCCCTCCCCCAAACTAACATGGAAGCTCCCGGGATCACTTTCGAAGACTTTGCTCCATTCACAGAGGCCTTATGTGGTTGTCTGAGGGAGTGTAGTGCAGATAGTACAATGGCTCAACATTCTGTGTGCGCTATTTCGCATAGTCTTCGAATCTTTGGTGTGTCAGTATTAGTCTGGAACATTTATCAATCAGGAACAAGGAGCATATTTTGAGAAAGCGCCCTGGTAGCAATGCCTCACTTGTTTGGAGGGTGTGGATATATTGTTCTGTTGCTATTTGGGAGAAACCCCGTTCTTTTTTTTCTCCGACAATCACTTAACTATACTTTATATTTCCCACTATTACTATTTAAACCCCCCTATTAATGAACTGGGGTTTGTGAATCCGAGGTTGCTGTTAATAAGCCGCCTTTCGCCCATAGCTACAATTTCCAACATGATCAAAGACTGATCATGTGAGCGTGGGCAAAGGGCAGCCTTCAAGGGCACCGTCGTCTCTACCGACCCCAGACAAATAAACTCGTCGAAGTCTTAGGGTGCCTCGAAGACTGAATGAACGATTCTATGTTAAATGGGACAAGCCTCCCTTCAAAAAGTTGTAAATCCAGGGGGATCAGCAGTACCCACCAAAAATGGACCGGCCCACCGGAAACTACAAAAGGACATTGGAAGATCACAACAAACCGAGGGAATCGGGAGACCAATGCCGCTCATGGAAACCGAAGGAACGCGGCAAGTGACTGAAGCCGTTTTAGGTGGACCTCCCACTCGTGCCCGGCACCTTCTGCGGATGCCGCCGCCACTACTGCAGGCGCCCGGTGCTGCTTCACCGAATTCCCCCGGTTTGTGGGCGTTGGTGCCGAGGGCCCCGTGGATATGCTTGCTCACTCTGAGGCTTCTCTCTTTCTCCCTTTCTCCCTTTCTCCCTTTCTCCCTTTCTCCCTTTCTCCCTTTCTCCCTTTCTCTCTTTTTCTCTCTGTTTGTTTGTTTGTTTGTTTGTTTGTTTGTTTGTTTGTTTGTTTGTTTGTTTTTTGTTTGTTTGTTTGTTTGTTTGTTTGTCCGTCCGTCCGTCCGTCTGCCTGCCTGTTTGTCTGTCTGTCTGTCTGTCTGTCTGTCTGTCTGTCTGTCTGTCTGTCTGTCTGTCTGTCTGTCTGTCTGTCTATTGGTCTGTCGGTCGGTCGGTCGGTCGGTCGGCCGGTGGTCGGTTGGTCTGTCGGCCTGTCTTTCTGTTCTTTTTCTCCCTCTTTTTCTCCCTCTCCCTCTCTCTCTCTCTCCCTCTCTCTCTCTCTCTCTCTCTCTCTCTCTCTCTCTCTTTCTTTCTCATTTGCTTGTTGCTGATCCCCGTTCTGGGCTTGTCTTGAACGGAAACGAGAGCGAAATTGGGATCTACTCAGACTCAGACATCAAATTCCCGATCAAACATGAGCCTCACCAAAGGGAAGCTCAATCCCAGTTGGCAACTAGAGCGGTTCAGTTTGGCAAAGCCCCGAAGGAGGCAGGGTCTGTCTCCAAGCCTAGAAAGGGTGCCCGAATCCGATATTGACAGCTGGGTTGTAATGTTGATCCTGGATTACTAAGCCTTTGAGAAAGCCCCCAAAAAGTCCACTGGATCTGCAACATGGGCCACTGGGAAGGGGGTGATTGAGCCTGATTTCCTTGTAGAGTTTCAACCTGCGGCGTCACAAGTGACGCCTTTGTTTCCCGCTGGCTACGGTTTGCGCGAGCCTCAGGCCACGCCCACAGGTTCAGCTGTGCGGCTTTGAGAGAGCTTGAGTCCTAAGTAGAAAGCTCCAGCAATTGGTGCCCTTTCTCTCACCCTTTGGTTGGTTGGGATTCGGTTCGGGACCCTACTACCTTTCAACCACAGAAAAGAAGTTGGTTGTTCTAACCTCAAATCTGGACCTAGGTATCTCGGTATCTCTCGTGTTTGGGTTCGCGTCAAGCGGACCTTTGGCTGTCCTGAAGTTGAGTTCGGAGGAATATTTTCGGGACGCCTCCGGGTTGGCCCAGGCAGGTGGCCCTTCGGGTCAAGCTAGCTGGTGAGAGGCGCATGCGAAAATGCACGGAAAGGGGCCCATGGGGGAGGGAGCGAGTGAATGATGTGACATTTTTTTCCAGGCGTCAGGCTTTGATCTTGGCGATGGGAAAGCCAGCTTAAACGGCCAAGCATCAAGCCTTGTTGACAGTGACAGAGCAGCAGCAACAGCGGCAGCAGCAGCAGCAGCAGCAGCAGCAACAACAGCAACAACAGCAAGGTGTCTGGGAATTGTGCTTGCACAGCTTGATCGACAGCTGCGACTGGATTTTTGAGGGAAGCAGGTTGTGCCCCTCAAAGGCGGGGATCATAGGGCCATGGGAATGGGGAGCAAGCCATGGCCGAGAGCCACCTGTTTTATCCAGTTGGTATGAAGCGCATGTAGGGAAATCCATTCGGGCGAAGCCGAGCATCTCAGATTCACAAGGCTTTACTTGGGTTTGTATGGCCCACATAGGCCAACCAGCTGGCCATCTTTGTTCGGTTAGCTATATAAGCTGGTGCTTCCCTCGTGGGACTGCTTGGCTATAGAAGTCTTCCTTTAGGTTTCCCTTTAAGCACACAACAAGGGGTACCCCCAAAACAGACACCCGGTCACCCGGCCCCATTTCTTTGGTTGTTTGCGGGTCTCAATTTCTCAAGAGGCTCACGCCATGGATGGACTGCATGCAGGCCCGACAGGATCTTCGGCGGTGACCAGGAGTTTGCAGCAACTTTGTCATGGGATTCCGGAGAACGGTGCTCAGCAGTTGTTTTCTCCGAACGTGAACCGAAAGAACGGTGCTCAGCAGTTGTTCCGAAAGAACGGTGCTCAGCAGTTGTTTTCCTCCGAACGTGAACCGAAAGAACGGTGCTCAGCAGTTGTTTTCCTCCGAACGTGAACCGAAAGAACGGTGCTCAGCAGTTGTTTTCCTCCGAACGTGAACCGAAAGAACGGTGCTCAGCAGTTGTTTTCCTCCGAACGTTAGCTCCGAACTGGTCTCGAGGAGCTTGCCCCGTAAAAAAAAAAAGAGGGGGGGGGGGCAGAAGGGCCCAAGCCTTTTGGAAAGGACGAGATGGGCTCCGTGACCTTCCGGTCTGAGCAAGCGCTGGAGGCAGCGGTTTCCAGTGTCGCTTTTTTTTTTTTTGCAAAACATGTTTTGGTTCAACAGGATCCCAAAAATCAGCAATCATTCAAGTGTCGCTTCGGGACCCCGAAGTTTGCCACGGACTTGAGTGTATTTCTGCGTCTCTGTGTGTGTTTTCGCGCGCTCCGATTCCGAAGGAGCACATGCCGGGCACGCTCACGGTTACGCGCGTGCTGGAGGTTGCAGAAGGTTAACGGTGAAGACCCAAACAGCGGTATCACAAAGCACAAATCCATCCCAACTCAACTAGAACGCGCAATTAGACCATTCGGCGAAGCTGGCTCGCGCATGTACGCTTGTTTTGTCGACCAGTCCTGGAACACCCGAACAACATGGGCCCAATAAAGACGCGTGTGTGCCAAGGGACATACGACGAGGGAGTCGAATGCTACAAATTCTCATGGCATGAACGAACTCTCATTCGTAGAGGCTCCTTTTGCTGGACTCGTTTTGGTTCGGTATTTTTCTTGGGATTAAGTCACGTGTCCCGATCTGCAAAGGAAGCTACCGCGGGAAAATGGGCCCCACTGTTTTGGGAAGCCATATTGAGCTACGGGGGCGCCATGGGCAGTGGTCCTTGCCGTGGCTTGCCATTGCTATATGCCACAAATGTTTGGAAGCACGGAGCCCGGGGGGAAATCCCTGAAACCATGGGTCAACGGCTGGTTCCCGTTGATTTTCTTCGTTCCGGTGGGTCGTTTCGGTGGTTTGGTTTGGTAACGGGGGCGTTTCCACCGGAACGCGCCCAAAGCCGTGAACTCCAAGCCGCGTGCGTCGGTCGCAGGTGGACCTGGACGGCTCCCGCAAGCTCCGCTTCGAGGCGGGGGGATTTCGACGAGCGGATTTTGGGAGCCAGCCGGTGGGCTGATGGTGCGGTCAGAGTTTCGGGGGTGGTGTTTTGAGGGTGCCCTGATGTTTTTTTTTTTTTTTTTTTTTTTGGGGGGGGGGTAGGTTTCAGAGACCAAAGGGGATTCTTGTGGGGGTTTTTCGGTTTTGACAGAGACCCTTTTGGGGTGAGGACCCTCGAATATTTGGAGGCAAACCCATCTTGCCGACGTCGCTGAGGATTTTCTGTGTGAAACCACTGCTTGGTGGTGGCAGCCCGTCGAAATTCGCACGACAAAGAAACAAAGAGGTTTCTTTGGGGGATCCCCGAAAAATGGTGGCCTTCCTTCTATTTTCCTCTTGCAACCAACCAACAAGGATTTCCCTAAAAAAGAAACTACTGTAAGTATTTCATGAAGGGGATCCCTTGAAATGCTTGGTTTCCTTTTCAGGCCTTTTCACCTTCCAAAGCAGCAACACGGTTTTCAAACCCATTGGTTCTTTTTACAGCGCAAGATCCCGGAGGGTTTCAGATTTCCTAAGATGTCTTCCACTAGCCCAGGGGTATACTGGGGGTAGCGGTTTGAGTCCGAGATTCAGCAAAGTGCCCCTAGGCTTTCATCTCTATTTGGTTGGATGATGCCATCCGCGGAGAGTGCTTTGCGTGGCAGATGGGTTGCTTGCGCCCGGAAAACAACCCTGAAGCTGCCGGACTTGACTCCTTGCGCGCCCAAGAAGCACGAGAGGCCGGTTGCTCCGTGTTTTTTTTGTTGGTATCTTTGCTCGGTACCTCTCAGGCGATTTTTCCAGCTGAAAGCTGGGTCAATAGGCCCAGATAGGCTCCTTCGGACTCCGTCGGGGTGGCGTGGGGCAGCTTTCAGGGAGGGTTGTTGGGGATACCACCTGAGTCACAATCAAAACCCGGGTAGATGAAGGTTGGTAAGGGACAATCCCAACCATAAATAGCTGCGGATATCCAGCTTCTTACTTCCTTACATGGTTCTGGGATTACGACCATTTTAGTACCGGGTTTTGAGTTTATGGCTCAAATGGGAATGGGTCGGAATGGGTGAAAATTGATCAAAGGATATGATCAAAGGATATGGAGTCCTCTTTTGGAGCAACTCTGGGCGACTTTGGTTTCTTAGCAAAAGGGAAGCCTCGAAGCCGCTACCGCAGCGGAGCTGAGGTCCTGGATGAAGACCAGCAGGTTTTGGCCTTTGCGGAGATCGAGGCCAAGGCTAGGGGGGGGAAGAAGAAGGAGTAGGAGGAGGAGGAGGAGGAGGAGGAGGAGGAGGAGGAGGAGAAGAAGAGGAGCAGCTAAACCCTTTCCGCAGCTTTGGCAGTCCATTCTGCCAATTTGCCCCCATCCGAGCCGGAGAGTGTAAGCCATGCCGGAACGGATCCCCAAAGGGTCATGGGAAGCAACGCGGGGCAGGCGACGACCTTCGAAAGCATGGCTGTGGCCAAAAATAGGTACCCCAAATGGACCCTAGGTGGAAACATGGACACCTGCGGTCCACGTGGTTTTTCATTTTGACCCATACGAAAGCTTGGGGCAGGGACCGTTTCCACTCCTCCGAGCCACTGCTCCATGTTTATATAGTATGTATACACAATACATATATGTATATATATATACATATTAATATATATATATATATAAATATATATATATATATACACATGTAGACACACATGTAGGATATGGCTGAACAGAGGTTATATGGCTCTGTGTCAAGACTATTGGCGCTTTCGACTGCCTTAAGTTGGGACCAGTAAAAAATGTGTCCGATTGGGGAGAGGACTCAAAGGGCAAATGGTGAACCACACTCGCTCAGGGAAACCTCAATGCTTTTCCCGGCTTCCTCCGTTCCATCTGCGTTCATTGGGTGCAAAGGTTCCGGCGAACCAATCCCTTGCTTAGATCTATCTCGAAGGCGCCTATGTGGATGTCTCGAAGGAAGCCGATGTCCGAGGGTCCCATTTCAAGCACCATGTGGGCGGTTTTGAAACAAAAACTCCACAGGGACTTGGGGTCCAAATCCGATGGACGAAATCATTTGCACCACCGTTCAGCATGCCAGGAATGATGATTTCCCTTCAAGTACCAACAAGCGTTCTGGGAACACAAACATAGATTTGAAGTGGTGCGAAATAAAGTTGCACAATCATCCACAGTAGTATTCCAAGGGACACTTCCCCATTCTTTCCAGGGATCCTTCTTTCAGAACCTCAGGGGAAACAGCTGGTTTTTGAAAAGAACGATGGTTGAAAGGAATGGTTGGAATGAACCCCTCGAAGTATGGCACTTCAGGACCTCGCGCGGAAGGCGCGCTGGCGCCTGCTGCTAAGCGACCCCAGCACCTCAGAGGCCGGAAGGAGGTCCCGATTTTGGGTGGGACAAAATCCCCAGCTCCCCCCACTTAGCACCGGTGGATAGGTGATTCATCCTCCAACAAATGTAGCACCTGTGGGAAGGTACCTGGAAGATCAGTTTCCTCTTAAAGGAACCCTCTATGAGGTGCTATGTTAGTGGAACGAGGGTAATTCATCCCATTTGTTCTACGGTTTCCATTTATCCCAACTAGTTTCACCTGGTTTCATCCGTAACTGGTGCGATCCGCGTGGACTTTGTTCATTTGTATGGTCAACTTGGGTGTCTTCCAAGTTGATGCCCAAAAGTCCTTCTCCAAAAAAGGAATTCCTCACCAAAAAAGAAACCGCCTTTCAAAGGTTTCTGCGATGCACCCAAGATCCAATCGCACCGCAGCTGATGTTCACTTTTGAACAGGCGCACACAAGTGAGGTGGTCCTTACCACCGGACTGCCATGCTCGCTGAGCACTCTACTGCCTTGGCAAAAGGGGCCCCTCCGGAGCCGATACATCACAGGTCCCATGCATGGTGGAACTGTTCAAAGGGCCAGGTGTCAGGTGGCCATGCAGACATGTGTTCATGACTGAGGTCATCAACTGACCTTACAGAATTGCACGGATACAAAACTCCTTTCAGTTGATGACCGCTCTCAAAGTCCTCGATGGTCTTCACAGCAGACCGGCCTTGTTCATGACTCCGGCGGGCTGACGTAAAGCTCTTGTCGTAGGCGATTGCCCATCCGAAGTCCTAACCGACAGTCTTGCTTCTTCTTGGTGAAGGCATCGCCTAGATCATAGCCGCTGGCAACCCAGCGTAACTCGGCGAGAGTCCTGTGCAATGACTCTCTCAACTGCAGAGCTTGAAGAGCGGACCTGGCGTTGCTGAGTCCCAACATCGGAGACTCATTGTACATCACGGCGTCAAAGCCGCCCTTGGAATCTGTAGCCAGGATGCCCTTGACATTGCGCGAGAGCCTTTCGGCCCATGCTACTCGATCTTCTTCAGGAGGAAGATCTTGACCCGCTCCATTCATCTCGCTCCACAAGACGCGGATCCGAAAGTTTTGGTCCTCGCCTTCCAGAACTGCTTGAACTTCAGCATCATTGGAGCTGATGGCTTTCCTTCTCAACTTCCAGCTGCGCCAACAAAGTGGTGCCATGAATGTGACCTTGCCCTCGACGGCTTGTGGTCCAGATGCGGTGGACAGCAGTCCTCCAGTGGAGTCGAGGTTCTCACGATTGGCGTGTGCCTGGTCGCAGAAGGTGATGAAAACCAGGTCTCTCCAGGAGCTGACGCCATCTGGCTCCTGAATCGCAGCGAGTAGTACTGCTTGCGAACTTCACCAATCATTTGTTGCAGTTCACGAGCAACTTGCATGTTGCGCTTGGTGGTGATCTCCGAGGCGATGAGGTTGCATCGAGCACATAGCTGTGGTTGTGTCTGTAGCGCTAGCCATTGCAGACTGCCCCAGGTGGCGCGACATGCGGCTATTTCTTCTGCGGTGAGCTGTGCCTGTTCTTGACGAAGACGATCAGGAGCGATGTGCACATCGATGAGCGTCTCGATGTAGCGGTCCTGATTTACCTGAACTTCGACTCGCCCTTGACCATCTATTGTTGTGGTGAGGTCGGTACCAGCGTGCCTGTAGTTGCCACGCTTCGCAGTACCCCACTCATAGAGGTTGTCGATGAGTCGACAGATTTCCAGCCACTCATCGGAGTTGCGGTCACCACAGCGATGAAAGTCATCCACGTGACCGCCCATCATGCCCAAGGTGCGAAAGACGCTGTGCTCGTCCTTGTCAACTTTAGACTGCCAGATCCAAATACATCTTTCTCCCACAAGTGGTTTGCCGCCTATGGACGAGAGGCGACGATGTAGGTCTAGCCATAGCCCACGAGGTGCTGTGGTGCTGCCGTAGATGTTTTTCAGGATCTTCATGATGTCGGTCCGAGGCCTAGTGATTCTCGAAGCTCGGAGACACCGCGTGTCCACAGATTCTGGTCGGCCTCGGTGGGTTGTGTTTGCAGGAACGGCGTGGCCAGGTCTAAGCCTTCCAAAGTCCAGTTGTGAGTGCAGGCCATCATGTACAGCAAGTTGCGTCCCAAGCTAGACTGCACAGGACTTGCGGTCTTGAACTCTGGCCGGAGTAGGTCGGGATGCTCATAGCCCAGAAGCACAATGCGTGCTTTGGCCTTGCGTATTCCATCCTTGGTGTAGGTGGACTTGACGTTGGAGACGGCTTCCTCCTTGGCCTCCTTGATGTCCTCGGGAGGAGTTGGTTTCCAGGTTAATACCCAACGAGCTCGCATGATTCGGCCCTGACCAAAAGCTTCTCGAACTTCCACGGCTGCTGCTTTGATGAAGCTGCTGACTTCTTTGGTCTTGGCGCGATTGAAGAGTTCCTTGAGGTCGTTGGTCAGCCTGGAGTAGACTACTTTGGAGTCTCGCATTTTCTTCACAAGGTAGGAAGACGCATCTCTCTGGATATTCTTCTGTTGACGGTTTGAGAGCTCTGACACGTCCAGATCCATCTCAATGGTCATCGTGTCGGAGGACGCCATCAGAAGAGCATGTTGATCTCCTTGTTGGAGATGTAGATCTTCCAACCATCTGAGGTCATAGGAGTGCTGGTCGTGCATGAGGTCATCCTGCCCATCAAGCCGAGCCTTCTTGGAGTCAGGTTCATAGACGTTGACGTCGGCTGCATCGCGTGATGGTCCAGATGAGGATGCCGCGGGTGCTGACGCTGACCCAGGCTCATTGGTGACATCTTCCACCTCCGGGGTGTCCATGGAGGTGTCGTCAGGTGTTGGAGGTGCCGGTGGCTTCGTTTTCGTCCGGAGCCTCCTCGGAGGTCTATATGTGGTGCTGCTGTTTGGCTGATCAGGGAGATCAGGTTGTTCACGTTCATCAGGTCCTGGTTCTTCTTGACTGATGTCAATGAACTCTTTCTTCGGCAGGAGGTCCGATAGAGATCTCCATTTGGAGATGTCTTCCTTGCTGTTGATCTCGAACTGGGTCTGCTCTAGGGAGGTTGTCGGCCGTACAGAGTGAACACTGCAGCGAAGGAGTTGGTTCTGTAGAAGGACCCAAACCACGTGACGACGGTCATCAGTGTGATGCTGATGTGGTAGTACTTCATGAAACACCACCCTACCAGGCCCAATCCAATGCGGTTTGCCTGATTTCTTGGCGCCGCCGCGTTTGCCCTGGTAGATGTGTGAAGGCCATTGCTTGCGCCAGACCATCACAAGCTGCATGGGGTGGAAAGTCCGTAAGGGTTGTCTGACGGTGGAGTTGCCGAGCTTGCTCAACACGCGTAGAGCTCTGGTCCGGCGAGCAACTTCTTCAGCGGCTTGTCGACGTTGAACCAATCTGGCAAAGTCATCGGATGGTGACTCAGGCAGTGAGGCGAAGGTCCGTGTCTCTTCATCGGTGATGACATAGTCCTTGCCGTAGCACCACTGGAAGGAGGAGTAACCCTTGACATACTCAGTGGAGTTGAGGGCCGCTACCGTGAGATGTAGAGTGATGACAGGGTCCTGAGTTGGACTGCCCAGTTGGATGGCACTGGCAGTCATCTTGACATCTTTCATGGCTGCTTCAATTTGTCCATGGGCCCAGGACTCCTTCTCGGCGGGAGGCGCTAGTTGAACACCGATGTCAGACAAGAAGCTTGACATGTCCCGCGAGGTCAAGGTGATGCCATTGTCGGGGATGACGATCTCCGGTTTGGGCTTGTCTGCTAGCCATCGTTCCGACAAACCACGGATGACATCCGAAGAGTTTTCACTCTGCAATTCCGTGACCGGATAGCACTTGATGATGTAGATCGCACGAAGCCGAGTCGCCAGGTCCATGATGAGCATGAACTTGAGCTTGAGCTTCGTGTTGGGAATCACCCACTCACTGACGTCCAGTCCAATGGCTTGCCAGGCGTGGT